GTAGATCTTTACATTATACAAAATTGGCATTATTAATTGGCTAATAAATTTTTATAGGATGTTTTCCAAAATGTAAGAATTAAAATGAATCAAAAATTATATTTCTAGCATTTGTAGTTAATAAGTTATATGCGTTTAAAGCTAAAAATAAGTTGTTACGTTTCTTTTGTCAGCCACTGTTAATACTACTAGATGTGTTGTGTTTTCACGGATGAATGTATTGAGTTTATGATATTTTTGCGTAACATATACACATGAAATATTTCAATGACACCTATTCCCAAAAAATTGGCCAATTTGATTTGTATATGCTCTGGAGCTAAGCATACATCCTCAAAAATAATTAATATACTTCTCTTAGGTGAGAATGCTCTTGTACTAGGAATTTTTCGGGTGGTATATAGCTGAAACTAATATCCTTATAGTAAGGTGTTCTTGGGTCTTTCGAAATCATATTATATATATATCTAACATATGCTTATTTTGGTTCGTCTGGATGATAACCGCATATAATCAGGACATCACAGCAGATATATTTAGACCCGCCTTTCTTTCCCTTTTGCACATATTCATCCTTATCACCAAGAACAAGGTTCGCAAGTAAATTAGTTTTACCTGTATCACTTTTCCCAGTAACAACCATAGCAAATATCCATGTCATTACTGGATGACCTACATTTCGGGATGATTCATGTTCTGTAACTTCATCCATATCCAAAAGATAGAGTTTCATAGGAGGTATTTCTGTCTTTGAACACTTCTGCATAGTGGATTGAAATTTCGTATTTTTGTTTTCTATCAAAGGGTATTATATATTTCAGAAAAATTTTCTCTTCATTAAGGAATGGAATAAAAGAATATAGATGGGAGAAGATAGACCACAGGAAGTATATGATTAATAATAGTATTATAAGAAAGATCGCAAGCTGAAAAAAAATGAACCAAATTTCTCATTATTAATCAAAGCTTTGCCAGACCTTGACGTAGTAATGGATGATATTGTGGGATGGTTACTATCGAGTTTCTCTTTTGATTTTTGTTCAGTGTGATCTATTGGGAACTTCACCTCATTTTTTACTTTCCTTTCATCAGGTTCAAATTCTGAGCAATGTGAAGAAAAAGAGGAGGTCTTGTCCTAAGCGTCTTCGGAAAAGAAACTAGATACCTCTTCTTCTTTATTGCCACCTGTTTTTGAATTATTAGATGATGGATGTGATTTTAAAGGGATCTGTTCTAGTTTATCTCTTTCAGCTTGATGCTCTAGATCACTTACCCTAAACCTGAGGCAGAAAATTAACCCATTCTTAAATGATGAATTTTGCGTAACTTTCTCCAGTTCATTTTCTAATTCCTTTGCTTTAATCTCAAGAGAGAAATTGCTACACAACTGGATAGTATCAGAATCCTTTAATAAAACTTTTTGCATAGCTTATTTCAACTCAGCCTCCAGTTCATTTATTTTAGTTCCAAGAGAGATGATATCAGAATCCTTCAAAGATAAAGCTTTTTGCATTGAAGATATTATACTTTCCAGTGATTTAACCGTAGATTTTAGCGATTCTATTTCTTTTAACTGCTTAGCATTAAGATCGGCATGAGACTTTTGTTCACAAGTAATTTGGGAGACAAGCTTATTATTCAAACCATTTAGTTGATTAGCTAAAAGGATAATTTGATTCATAGAATTATGCATACGCTCATTTTCTTCATGCAAGTAATCTAGATCATCTTGCATACGTTCATTTTCCTCATGCAAGTGATCTAGATCATTTTGCATATACTTATTTTTTTTATCTAAGACATGATATTTAGTTATAAGCTGTTTAGCAGATCTTATAAACTTTTCGCAATTTTTTTTTAGCTGTTCTTCAAGTTCTAATTGGCTCAGTGGATATCGATTGGATGGAGGGCTTCCAAGTTTACTGCTATTACTATTACCTACATCGTTTAAAGTGTAGATTCGAGGCATAGTTTTTTATCTCGCAAATATAGACAAAAAAAAAATAAAAACATTTTTTTCGAAATAATATGCTCTTCTTATATTTTCAAAATGATACATTTATCCTAATTATCCCAATAAATCTTTTCGAATTAATATATTTATCCTATTTATTCTATTAAATTATTTTCGAAATAATACATTTTTTCTAAATATCATAAAAACTACGCTTATCTTATTTATCTCAAAGAATACATTTTTTCTAGTTATCCTATTTAATATTTTTTGAAATATTTTATCTGAAAAAAATACATCATCATGATTATGGTTAGACAACGTATAAATTGTAATGCGCCTTTATTTTCACCAGCTGATTACAATTTTATTATGCAATGTGAAAATGAAAGGCTGAGAAAGAAAGTTTTAGATGAATTGATGGACAAATATAACACATCAATGAAGCGCATATATCAGATTTGGAAAGGTGAAGAAGCTAATAGAATTATCTAAAATCAATCAATAGCTGATATTTCTAATATTACTCATGCGGGTGGGTGTTTACCTGTAGTAAACTACAACCCACCTCCTGCTATTTCCTCTCCACCTGCCTTACTACTGAAGAAAAATAGTTGAAAAAAGAAAACAGGTAAAATAAGTGTAGTATCTACTGAGATGGAAACAGAGGTGCTTTCACAGCGCAGTGCTAATACTACTGATAATACTGATATTATATCTAAAATGGGATCTGAACTTGAAGAGGTATTAAAACAAATGGATAATATTAATTAACTTACTTCTTTTTGGCAAGTATTTTTATAGCACTTATTGCTTTATCAAGCCACTCTTCAACTTTTGCAAAACGTTCTTCAAGCTTTGCACAGTTTACACACTTTTTTTTAAACTATCCTCGCTAGTCAGGAAGGAGTCATGTGACCTCTCTTTTGGCAGATCTTTGACTACTGGAGCCTTGCTAAAGGTTGAGATAATATATACCTTTCCATGTAACTTTATGTAAAACAGGTTTTTATTTGGCTCGGGAACGCCTTGAACCTTTCGAATATTTGACATACTAAAAAATAGCATTGGTTCTGTTTCACTATTATCAATATGAACAAAATTTTCAATATCTGTGACCATCTTACCTTCTTTATCCTTTAAGGTAACTGGCATGTCTGTAAACCATCCTAATGAATCAGTAATATGCTTGGAATTGCCCTTTATGGCAAAATTAGATGGTTTATCAGCTCTCCATCCAAGCGTCTTGATTGCTGGGTCATTTAAACCACCTAATTCACTGCCGGTATCTAAAAAAGATTCAGAAATAGTTAAGTCATTTATATTAGCATTCAGATATTGTAAAGATGACAACCACTCATCTGATTCTTTCGATTCCTCCTCCTGAGCCTTTCGAGATAAGCACATTTTTCGTATCAGTAGTAAGAACTTAGACAATAGCTGATTGTACGTTTTAGGTTGGCTAGATTCTAGAGGTAAGATTGCATTAGTATCACTAGCCAACTTATGCGAAGCGTCTCTCAGCTCATTTACCTGTTTTTTTTTCCAGTGCATAATATCACGCATTATCTACTTTATCATAACTACCACTATTATCTTCATCATTATCAGAATCTGGAGACGTGTTTGGAAATTTATAGGTGTGAGATGCTTAAAATAAGTCTGATTAAAATTAGATCGTGCTGTCTGTCTATTGGGACAACTGCCTTTACTATAACCAGTTTTCACAAATATCACATTTATGTATATTTAGTTTCTGGAATTGATTTGTTAGTTGATTTACAGCATCACGAGTTTTATTTATCCCCTCTTCTACTCTATCAATTTTAGCAGAGACATTGCTTCTCTGTGGGCGTGATCTTTGAAAAGGCTTTACAGGATAATCAGAATTCAAATCTTCCTTGTTAAGTATACCTACTTCTTTTAAGTATTCGGTTACATAATAATTCTTGAGACCTTCCTCTATTTTCAATGAAGATGGTGGACCTCTCAGCTGTCTAATCGGTTTAACAGATTGTGGAGCAAATACTTGTGCTTATTGAGTCATTTGAGATTCTAATTCAGTAATTTTCTTTACTAATGTCTGGTTTTCAGTTTTTTGCTGTGCCTGTGTGTCTTGAAATATTTTTTGTATATCTGCCAAGGAAATCCTTTGCTGTTGAGAAGCTGAAATAGGCGAGGGTTCATATATTTGCCAAAATACTCAATTAGATACTAGCGGATTTGATATTTTATCTCTTTTATATCTAGCTATTTAGCGTAACTCTATCTCATAAAGCTTTTTAACTAATTCATCTAATGGCAAATATTCGCCAATATCCTTTTCAAGCCATGGCAGTGGAAGGGCATCTAAGAACTTTCTACATAATTCTTCAGGCCTATAGTTAGCTCTTCTACCTATTTGTACTATTTTTCTATATAATTCATCTATAGTCATATCTCCCTTCGTGATTGTTTCATACATCATATCATGAAGCTTCTCTTTCACTGTAGAAAAATGCGTTTTTAGCCACCATATGGCTTGATCAAAATGAATACTAGCTACGATCACTGTAGTACCATTGTTAGCATTTGGTGCATTAACAACAATGTTAGTAGGATGACCACTAGCTATGCGTCAATCTTCATTCCAGGGACCTTCTACAGCTCTCAACTTGACTATTGCAGTTCCTGGTTGACTCGCATTTTGCCCATTTACAGCTACTAAGTTAGCTTGTCCTATATTATCAAGTAAGTTCACTAATTTCCAATTCTGCTTTGTAGTAATCTCTTTGTCAAACCATTCTAAGGCTCTTCCTCTCATACATCCTCTCAAATACCCTATTGCCTGATCTCTTTCTGTTACTGGAGTTCCTGCATTATCTGTTAGGTCTACACCTTGGTTTTGTAAGTATAATCTAAGTTTTGCAAGAAAATCAGGGATATCATCACCCCAATCAAAAAATGGTTATAATATTCCTACCATGTTTATTTGATTTGGTGGATTATTCTGTAGCGCCAAAATTTATTCCTACAAAATTAAAATATTCTGCTGAACATCATGGGTCTTATTCTTTTATTTCTCATATCACTCATAGAGCCTATCTCGATTATACTCTAATAAACCTATATCCCCTCTACTTCGCTATAAGTGATGAGTATTTCGCTGATATAGTAATTGTAAGGCAAACTTTTCTCATACTAGTTCACCTATACGGATTTGCTTTCTTGCTATATTACCTATCATTTTATTTACCAGATTTTGAGCATTAGTTTGATATTGCTGAAGATCGCCAATAACTCTTGCTTCTACCCCTTCAGCAAGTTGCCTTTGTATAATTTCATTATCACGTTCAACTTCTGCATTATAGCGCCTCTGTTGCTCTTGAAATATATCCCGTTGCAAATTATTTTCTTTTCAGCGAATTTGCCTTGTTGCTCTTTTTATTTGATCTGCTAAGATTTCTCTACCTGTTGTTGGATTATTCATATAACCATCTATAGCGTTTGCTAATTCTGTGATTGTGGCCATATTATCATCAGAATTATACAAGTCTGAAGAATTACCCTGCTCTGGAGAATTTTTTCGTGATGAGATGATCCTGATCCTATATCGCAGATTTTTAACCTGCTCCTCAGATTCTACTAACTGCTTTTTTAAGGTAGAGATATATTTTTCTTTATCTTACACATCCTTTCTAGCTTGATATAGCTGACTTTTTAGGCTGAATATTTCAGATTTTAACTCTACTATCTCTTTTTTCGAAGCATTTTTAAGGCGCTCTATCTTTCTATTAAGATCTTGAATTTCTTGTTCACATTGGGAATAATCTCACTCCAACTAATTAATTCGTCTCTCATTCTGGCAAATAATATCCATCTTTGTCTGCAATTCATTACGAAGATGAAAGTTCTCCTCCTCTAGCTCATCTTTATGTTCTTCACACATTCTTCTCTGCCTTAGGTAAGGTCTGCGAAATAATATTCTTTTTTTTCGTAATTATAAAAGAGAATGGGAGAGCACTAAGCTGAAAGACCAGTTATTTATATTGATCCTCAAAAAGCTCGAGACTTAGATCAACTTATAGCAAAACAAAGCCTACGATTTTTATTAATTCCCAGAAAGCTCATGATCTAAACCGGCATTTTGCTTTACAGAAGCTGTATTATTATCCTGAGGATCTTTACCAAAATATTAAGGGATTGTGAGATGCTTGTAAAAAAGCCAGCTACAGCCTTACTAATGTAAAAAAAGTTCTTGATAGGCAGGCAATATACCAAATTTTTCGTCTTTCACCAAAGCATATACCTTATGCCAGTTACTCTAAAATCACGAAGCCAAATACTGTGCACTAATGTGATTTAATCGAAATACCATATGATGAAGATGTGGATACAAATTTACTAGATGATGGCGATGGCCCTCCAATATATTACTATGTACTGTTGGTTATAGACTGCGCGACTAGATATAAAGATTTCATTTTTTTAAC